CATAAGAAAACCTTTGATTCACAACTCTTTCCAAACAACTCTACTGCAGAAATGTTAGATATTCAAAGCTATATGCTTAAGACAAAATTCCACAGCTCATGCTCCCTCCACACTCGAAGTGACTGCCGATATGCATCCCCCTCCTACTCATTCCCCCTACATCCATCCTCTTACTTTCACCCAACACAAACCCACTCCTCTCAACTACACGTACATTCCCCCTCCATTCATCCCCTCTATCATAAGGGTTACACATGTGAAACCCTTATGTAAGTCCCTTACCTAGACCCACCATAGCCCATTCACACAACTCCTTTACCCATCTTTAACCTTTCAAGATCACTCTACATAGTTGACGCATAGCAACTATCACCCTTTACCTGTCCTTTAATATACTTTTCAATAGTGCTATCTAACCTTGGAGGTCTACGCATTTTGTTTTTTAAACCATTGGAATGGTTAATGGTTAATGGTTAAAAAATAAGGTCGGTGAAGGGAGGATAGGTGTGGAAAAGCAGTGGTACATGCTGTATTAAAGCGTGGACAGGACAAGAGAATATGTAACGTCCTCTTTCAGTTCCACACAGAGGACATAGGGACGGGTCTGAGCGTGACATAGATAGGCGTGTGTGGCCAATACCTAAGCGCGCGAGGGCCGTCTCCCAACGTCTGTTTTTGTGAAATGGAGCTGACAAAGAGGAGATTGATGGTTTTACAGTATGTAATTTATTGTGTTCTTGACCAAAAAGATTGCCATTGGGTATACAAGAAGGTTTTAAAGTGGTGGTAATAATCCGTAGCTGGAATATGTGAGAAGCGTAGTTAAGGTGATGTGGACATTGCGGCATAGCGTGCAAGAGTGCCTGTTCATTGCCGGGATTCCAACATGGCTGGGTACCCAGCAAAATCTGACAGATTTGTGACGTGTGGATAGATAGAAGAACCAGTTCTGGATCTTACAGAGGATTGGTCGAGTGCATAGACTTTATGAGGGTTAAGGAGTTACGGGAGTCAGTAAAATAGTAAAAGAGGAAGAGGGGATGAGTATATGCGTCTTAAGCAAAAAGGAGTGCATATAGTTCTGTAGTAAGGAGACTAGATTTAGGAGGGAGGGTGTATTTTAAAGTGCAATTTGGAATGTTACTGCGAATCCAGCTCCTGAGATGGATTTGGAATCGTCAGTGTAAACATGAATGCTGGAGGAATGAATGGAGATATGGTCAAGGAAATGAGTGAGAAGGATGGGAGAGGAGGGTATCCATGCGTACGGGGAGAGGAGTTGGTAAACATGGAGAAGAAGTAAAGGTTTCATACCTTTGTGGAATAGTTAGTTTGGTAAGGGAATATTGGTGAAATTGAGCATAGCATCGGAGAGAGAGAAGGGCTCGACGTCGAGAAAGGGACGGGCATGCAGATTCAGTATATAGGCTCTCAACTGGAGAGGAGCAGAAGGCACCTAGGGCTAAGCGGAGACCGCTGTGGTAGATTGTATCAAGGTGAGCAAGAAGAGAGGTTGAGGCAGAGGAGAAGATTTGGCATCCATAATCTAGAGTGGAGAGAATCAAGGTAACATGAAGATGGAAGAGAGTTTTGCGATCTGAGCCCCAGGAGATGTGTGAAAGAGTTTGTAAGATTCGGAGGCGGTGTTGAGCTTTTTCTTTGATGTACAAGATATGGTCTCGTCAGGACAATTTGGAATCAAATATAACGCCTAGGAATTTGCCAGAAGAACGGTATTGGAGTGGAGCGTTATATAAGAATAGTGGGGGTTTGGGGACCGTAAGTGAGTGAGAGAAAAGGATGAGGAAAGATTTGGATGTATTATAGCTGGTGAGGGGTGCCTCGTTTGTAGCGATAGCGTTCCAGGCTGCTCGTTTTAAGCGAAGCGCTTTGGTGCAATCAGAATTCCACCATGGAACACATTTAGAGGTACAAGGTCTTGAGCTCGTGGTTGTAAAACATTGTAGCATATCTGAAATGGACGGTAAGGGGGTGGAGGGATAGGTATAGTAGAGAGTGAAGTGAAAGTATGCCAGTCAGCTCTATCAAAGCACCAGCGTGGAGGATTAGGAAGTGGTACATATGAAGTAGGAGAAAGGAGTATTGGGAAGTGGTCACTATAGGGAAGTGGTCTAGAACTGACCAATGGAAATCTAATGTAAAGTAGGAGAGCATAGAGAGAGGTCAAGGCATGAAAAGGATTGTGTGCGCATGTCAAAGTGTGTGGGGCGATCTGAATTAAGAATAATTAGGTTATTTGTGAAGAGGAAGCGTTCTAGAGATCGGCCTCGGAGTTGGTGGTAGAGTCACCCCACAGAGTGTGGCGGCAGTTGAAATCACCAACTATGAGGAAAGGTGGTTGGAGTTGGGAAATTAGAGTTCAAAGGCAGTAAAGTCAATGGGATGGGATGGGGAGAAGTAGACTGAAATCACTGTGATCCAGCGGCGAAGAAAGATGCGAATAGCTGTGCACGGGACAGAAGTTTGTATGGGAGGTATGACATAAGGTGTTTTATGATGGATAAGTATAGACGAGACATAAAGGGAGTGTGGGGAAGAGATAAAATGGTAATTGGGAATTGGAATAGGAGGGTGTGTGAGGAAAGTCTCTTGGAGGCAGATAATAGATGGATTATAAGAAGCAAGGATATGACGTAGGTCTGGTCTATGAGAACGGAAACCGCGAATATTCCAATGTAGGAGAGCTATAGCTTATGAGTGATATCGCATAGTACGTATTGGGGAATCTGGGGGGAAGGAGCTAGGGGGTGTGAAGGAGGGTATTAGGAGGTAGGGAATCTGGGGAAGGGCATTGTTGTGACATGAGTGATTCTCGTGTGTATCCGGGAGGGAGTGCAAAGGATAGAGGGGATGGAGGGAGGGAGAATGTGCCTATAGTTGGGGTTGAAGGGGGTGGGTTGTGTTGGGAGTAGATGTGGGGAGTATTAGTGGTAGGAGGTGGATATGGAAGGATGGATATCGGAGGTGGACGGAATTGAGGGGTTAGGTTGTGTTGAGAGGGGGAGTAGGAGGGGTATGAATATCGGCAACCACTTCAAGTGTGGAAAGGATCTTGATGTTTTCAAGCATATTTGCTTGAATGTCATACATTGTTTCTACACTGGAGTTGGTTGGAGTTTTTGTGGGATAAAGGTTTTTCTTATGAGGGGGGGGAGGAAGAGGAGACTGGTGTCTCAGGAATAAAGGTAAAGGTAGGTGGAGGTGAGTGTGCTGTAGGGGAAGAAGGGTTAGAACGTTTAGTCTGTCTACTGCGGGTAGTGCGGGGAGGGAGAGGTCTTGGTGTTGGGGCTGTAGTTGAGATTGGGTGTCGGTTTAGAGTGGCAAAGGAATTGGTCTTGAGGGATGTAGAATTGGTCTGAGGGATGTAGAATGTAGAAAGTGGAAATAGGAGACATTTTGGGTGGAGGGGGAGGGACTGAGCGAATGAGGTTACAAGAGTATGGAGTATGAGAGAAACCTTGTCGAAGTGCTTCCTGTCTGGCTTCACAAAGGGAGACCATTTTTGTATCAGTTGCTACCTCAGATTCAAACTTGTAAGTGGGACAGCTATAAAATACATTATGGGGCCGCCACATTTAGCACATGTTCGGTTATGACCAGGTTGGGCGCACATGGGTCATCGGTCTGTGGAACGGCAATGTTTGGCAAGATGTCCAAAGCACCAACAGTTTTGAAATTAACGGGGAGGGGTTGGTATGGTCGAACGGAGGTATTGTCCACCGATTATAGATACGTAAGGGAAGGTCATGTGTACAGAAGGTATTGGCAATGTTGGTCGGATTCTTTCGTTGACCTTTAGGAATGGTGTAGCAATGTACTGATTTCACATCTTGGTCTTTGAGGCATCCTAATAAGTCTTCTCCACAGTCTGAACAATCTTTGGTATCGACTGGGCAGTTTGCTGGGGAGAGTTAGTTCCAGTACAGGTATTAAGGTTGGATGAGGTTCTGCAGAAATGGTGTTGCCAGAATGATCAGTTAAATTTGATTGTGCTATAGATTGTTAATGATCTGACTTACAAGATGGGAGCAGTCTCAGAAGCCCCCCCCCCCACGACAACAATGGGCAAGGGATTGGGGGTTAACCTTTGGAAAGCAAGCAAAGCAATTGATACGTCATTTTTAAAAGTAAAAAAATTAGGGAAGTTAGTCGACTTTGTAATGGGATATCCTTCAAATGTTATGTACTGTATTTTTTTTTTTTTTTATCGAAATGGCAACACCCATGGTGTTGAGGCTGCATTACACCTTTCTACACATGCAGCAATAATGTTGCCAAGACTATTGTACATGCTATTTCGTCCAGTTGTCGATTAGAAAATTAATCACTTGGTAAAGTGTGCCATTGCGAATATTTAAGGTTTTAGTTTAAGTGGTTTGCAACACATAATCCATGTCACAGGACATTTACCCATGGAGGAGAGTAGTACAACTCAAGGAAGGCAGGGATGTGTGCAAGGGAGGCTATTCAAGTGTAGCTAAGCAAGACACTAAAAGCTTCATTTATAACGATGCATGAAAGGAACTTTCCTATCGAAGCATTGCTGGGGTTTATATGCATTAGAAGCATTGTATAGAGGCTTTAGACAAGCCAAATGGCTTGTTAATTTCTTCCCACTGTATTCACAGTTTAGGTAGTGGATAAAGCTCTTGCTTGGCTACTGGCTAACTTTCAATTTGGTGGTTTTAAGAGTATTCATTTTAAGAAGCTTTTGCAGTATGATCAGATGCATTTTAATTGCAATTAATCCTCTAAAGAATCAAAGTTATTGTTGTACAAATTAAAAGTATAAAATTTAATCCTTCCTTCATTAAAGGCTTTAATTGCTAAATTAAAAGGCAAAGTTATCTGAATATTAAATTTGAGTTGTAAAGGTATAGGATTCCTGTATTAACAATCATTATGCATCCCCTTAGATACAATTCATTGTAGTGAATACTCAAATACCACTCTATTTTAAAGGAAATATTAAAGCCCTATTATACTTAATGTTTTAATAAAATTTTTAAAATTTTTATTACACTCGCGGTATCAATTCTGGATATTTGAAATCATCCACATGACATGTGCGGTCCAAGGCTTCATGTGTTAAGCCACGCATTTCAAGGTACAGAAGCTTCGAAGAATCACCTTTGCCAACCAGAAGATAGTGATCTTTGACTTCTGAGAAGGCCTCATTGGGTATGCTGATGTATATAGCCCAGTTCACTTTTGGAGTAGCAAGATCAGAGAAGAATCTCAACTCGGAGCCTGAAATGAAGAAGAATTGTCAGTACATGTTTGTTTATAAATTAACAATGTCCCATGCATTAAAGCCTTACCAAGTACTGTATAAACAGTGGGGCAGTAATAGTTTTCTTGCATAACCACAGCTATTGTTTTTCCAGTAATTGCATTCCCACTGTAGAAGGAAGTTAACGTAGCAGCTGCAAGTAGTGGTTTTGAATCCAACCAATTTAGAGTATTCTGAGTTGGATCTATGCCGTAGAGCTGAAAGGGAAGATCAGGTTAAATACATGTAAAGGTTACAACATTGGAAATATGCAAGGGGAAGAGTGCATACTCACATCTAGGCTATATTCTATGCCAGAGAGAGGGTTCCTGTCACTGCCGCCAGCAATAATATTTTGCCTTGCTGCTCAAATAACACCGAGTCATCAACTTGTAATTTTGAGAGTTGCGAGGATAGCTGTTGTCCATCAACAAATAAAACTAGACTTCCTTGCAATTTTATCGAAGCTACACTGTGTCCACTTTTGGAGGTCAAAATAGAATCTGCAAGAATTAGTGGGTTAAGTTATGTTTTAAAAACGGAAAAATGGATTTTTAATACAACTACCAGTAGTTTAAAAAAACATTTGAAGGCTAATTTTTTTTTTACCCATTTCAGTAGTAGCAGTATTAACGAAATTGAAGAGCAGAGTTTTAGTATCAAAGATATGCTATGGGTAGCACTTGGAGCAGTTATATATACAACTCCATGGTTTGCCGAAACTTTTGTCCCAGGAAGCAGGTCTTGGTATACCTGGAGGAATAAAAGTAATTATAGCTAGAAAGTTAGAAATGTTATTCAAGTTATGCGAAACTACTTGAGATAGTGCTCACGAAAGTGCACCATTTGACATTTTCCAGACTACACTATTCTGTTTGGTACAGGCATTCCCTTCACTTGATGCCGCCATCACCAAAGAAGATCTGAAAAATAAAAGATTTAAAATTCCTGTCCATTAGAGAAAGTGGAACTAGAATTTTTTTTAAAAGTTCTTCATACCTCTTGACCTTGCTCAATTGCCAACCAGTCTTTACCATGGCCTGACACTGCAAGTGTTTGCACGTGCACAAGTTTTCCTGGAGACTCAAACCTGTACAGTGTTGAGCTGCATTCATCTTTCCAGCTTATGATGATGTAAGTAGTGCCTGAAGCCTGGAAGAAGTTCAGGCAGTTAGTAAAAGCCACTGGGCCTAGTTGCTTTTCTATATAGCGAAACATACCCAGAAACTTGTAGAAGCATGATGCACTTTCCCAAGAGCAATTTCTTGTACAAGTCTGAAGTAATCTGCATCAAATATGGCTTCTGGGTATCTTTGTAAGCTTCCAGGATGAGAGGGCACTTTACAGCATATTCGCTCTACAAAAGAAAATTTTGCACAATTACTTGTAAGCATTTGTATTCCGATTTTTTTCTAAACACCTGACAAACTGAAAAGCTCAAAATAGCTATCCTTTTAAAATGGGATCTAAAAGCTAAAACACTTAAAAGCTTTAATAAAACTAAGAGGGAGGGAAGGATTAACTTGCCTTAATTCCTTCATTGTAAGTAGAGTACTGGTTCAGAGCTTGTTTTGCATCATTGTATACTTGTCCAATATTAAATTTATCAATGGTGCCAACAACCGTTAACGAGTCCTGGAGATAAAGTTAGAGTTAATAAGGTGTACATGTCCTACAGTTAAGGTACTCTAGTGTATAGATACATACCTTCATAGTAACTGAAGAATCAATATCATGCTTGCTGAAATAGTAGCACTTTCATTGTAATACCATGCATTAGTCGAGAGATCACTCATATCATATCGCTTATCATATTGGTGCTGCTCGTCAGAGATGATGTAAGCAATCCATTAGAGAACTTTAGGCGTCCTGTTAAAACAACAAAGTTAATGGGACCATATGGCTATGGTGGTCATCTTTAGTCCGACTTCCACGATATCCAGATTAAAGTGAACTTTAAATGTAAAGTACTAGTCTCCTTACCATTTACTGTAGATGCGTCTTTTAGGTATATTGCCTCGGTAGCCATCTTTATATTGTTGATATTACCTGTCACTTCCACATTATTTGCTACATTGACAATCCCCAGATATGCTCTTCATACCAGTAACAGTCTGGCCGCCATTTACCTGTATGAATGTTACAATTACCATTAATTAACATTTATTATTATTATTAATTAAGATTTTACAAATTAACCTCTAATTTACAGATTCTTACATTTAGTGTATTTGCGACTTCATCCGGCAGTTTCTTTGAGTTAACGAATCCATCAACTGTAATACTAGCAGTGGTTATGCTCTCGAATTCCACATTTGGAGAAAGACTCTGCATGGTGTTTGTTGTGAGGTAGTTGGTTGCCAAGTCGAAACCATTAAGGCTTGTAGCGCCAAGGGCACCTTTTACCGACACGTCATCTTCGAATGCCTAAAATAACAATTATTTTAATTCAAAAGCTAATCAAGAGTAAAAAAAAAAAAAATTAAATTCACGAGACCTACCAGTTTTATACGTGACTCTTTGAATCATCCAGCAGAACCACATTTTTCATTAAGGTCTTGTAATCTACATTATCCACGGTTCCCTGAAATTAGGGAGTAGAGTTGTAATATTAGGGCTTTCAAATATTAATTTTTAAAAGCAATCGATTAAAAGACTTACCTCTATTGTTAGAGAGTTTGCAGTGACCGATGGTGCACTCACTAACCCGTTTACTTTGATATTTGATGCAAGACTTATTGGGCGGTTCTTTCTTACAGCATGACTCAAATAGTAAGTCAGGTCTTCGCCATTTAGGGTTGTAACATCCAAGTTATTGAATGTAGTGTCTTTATGGAAAGTCTTTTTACCAGAAATTTTAACATCTTGTGCTTGGAGCCTCACTGCATCATTTAACCTATCATTTACATTCACCGCATTTAGATTTCTTAGGATGTTAATGGTGCCTGCTTGTACTTTTTCAAGGTAGATGTTATCTAAAAAGGGGAAGAAATGTTAATAGGAAATTTCATAAAGGACAAATATCTGAATGGGAGCAAGATAATCCCTAGGTGAGACTTACTAGTCTCATCCTGCAATTCTTTCAGAGCTGTACTGTCCAAGGCTACAAGATCTACTGCATCAAATGTTCCACCAAGATTAAGGTTCTTCTCTGCATGCAGAGTGAAGAACTCGTAGGGTACCACGATATCCTGGTCTGTGTCAAGAGTTACCAATCTCTTACTCAAGTCTATTCCATTAGTGGTTTCGGCGTTTATATTACCTTTCACAGAAAATTCTGCAAAGGTCTTTTTACCTGGAAAAAAAAAAAAGTTAAGCTGTATAAAACTTCCATACATTTGTACAAACTATAAAATTTAATAACTTTAGTTTCATTACTTACCAGTTACTTGAACAGAGCTTGCATCTGTATACACAGCATCATTGTGCACCACTTGCAGGTCCTTCCCATTGACAAGTCCTCCAACAGCAACATCACCTTGTAGGTCCAGGTCACCCCAGGTAACAGATCCTGTCATGGCATTGTTACCTGCCAGGAACACTGCATTCTCGTTGATTCTGCTTATATTCTGGCCATTAGCACCAATCTTGTTAGCAGTACTGACAGAGTCCTTCACAGTTAAGCTTGCAAAGCTCAGATCTGACGATATAATCGAGTCTGCATCATCAGTGACGATGTTGCTCTTCAACTGTGCAACATTATGCCCACCAATGTTTACTGCATCAAGTGAGCCAAGGACAGATACCATTCCATTTACAGTTAGAACACCCGAGTGGGGGTAGGATTCTTACGGCTCATGCGAATGCTGTCCAGCACAGAAATATCGATACCATTCATTGTGAATCCATCTGACATGTCTATTTGGTTAGCATCTAGAGCACCAAAGGATGCGGCTGCCAATTTCTGTGGCACAGTGAAGACTTGGTCTCCAGATTTGGCAAGAATAGTGTTGAAGTCCACACCAGAGACTCGGCCCTGAACATCTAGTTCTCCAGCGGATACTGTACCAGTGAAAGTCTTCCTTCCTGTTACCACTTGTCCTGCCTTGTCCAGGTACAATGCAGAGTCAAAGAGTTGCTTCAAGTCCACACCATCAACTAGCCCAGTTACATCTACTGTAGACGAGAAGGTTACCGGCTTCTTGAAAGTCTTCACTCCAGCTATGGTCTTAGCATCATTAACTGTTACAAAGTCATCAAAACTCAATCCATTAAATGTGCTCTTTAATGTAGCTTCAGAAGTTTGAAGGTCACCATTAAAGGTTTTTGCACCAGTTAATAGAGCAGAAGCATCAGAAGTGTAGATTACATCCCTGCAAGGTCAACCAGGTTTAGGCCTCTGAGCGTCCCATCGTATACCGTTGTTGGAAGGGAGACACTTCCTTTGAATATAACATCAAATTGATTATTAGTATTCAGGATAGCCGTCAAATTACTATTGAGTTCGTCAAAGTCAATTCCTTTGACAAGGCTAGACGATACATCAAGGTTACCCAGAATATTTACCGACTCGGCAAGGGTAATGTTGCCTGTAATTGTTTGGGGCCTGTGAAGTGTAACCAATTTATTAAATTGAACACCATCCACAGTTAGAAGATCATCAACATTAAGATCTACACAAGTCAGATGATTGAAGGTTTTGGTACCCAAGTTCAGAGTAGTATCGGTTTTTAGGGGTAAATCTGTTGGGAATACCCTGCCATTGACTTTTCCTTTAACTTGCAAGCCTTGGGCGGTAAGTGTTGGCATCTTTATGCGGCCTGTCAGCTGAGTATCCTTGTCCTTGAAGACGGTATAGGTCAAGAAGTCTGTTGAGCGAACACCAGACAGCAAGGAAGCAGAAAGAGATTTTGCAACCACATCATTAGTGAAAGTAAGTGGTCCCTTCACTTCTCCACCTGCTTTTGTTAGTGCATTTCTGTACAAGTTGATTACAACTCCATCGACTTCATTATTACCTATATTTAGGTCTTGTGTTACAGTCACATTCTTGTCAAAGGCAAGATATCCTGGAAGATTAGCAAGACATTAGATTTAATTAAATAGTACCACTAGTTTGCAGAGCACCAAACTTATAAATTACTCACCCAATTTGGCGGGTCCACTTAACAGAACTGCATTGGAGAGATCAATACCACCAACCACACCACCGGTAGGGAGGTTAACGTTTTCTGCATTCATTGTAGGGAATGTTGTAGTACCCACAAGGGAATATTTTCCAGTTGTGGTCGCAATGTCACTAACAGGAATGTCATCCAGAGAGGGTGTATTAAGGCTTGCGACATCAAGACCTTTTACATAGGTCTTCTTGCCAGTTATCTTGCGAGCATCACTGAAACTGAAGTTAAGTAAAATTAAAAGAGTGTTCTTGTCAATAAAAAGCAACTAGTTTAAAGCAGTAATTAAACCAACCTTATTAATCCTTCAAGGTAATCGGTTAGAGGGAAGCTTTGGTCATTTTTGTCCATCACTTCTTGGACCGACACCTCTGTAGTTGCAAGGTTACTTACAGTTAACCCATCAACAACCGTCTTCATTCCAGTTATTTTCTGGTTACCTCCTGCAATCTTCACAGCATCTGTAAGATGATTACACATTTAGCCTCTTGCATATAGCATAGCAAGCTTATTTGCAAGACGTAATAGGCCTTAAAGTACTTGCCCTGCAGCCTTGAGGAGTACTGATTCAATGTTTTATCCAGGTTATTGAGCCAGGTGAAAGAGTCGCTGATGTTGGCGGTATGAGATTTGTAGTCGGAATAAGATACACCTGAAGCAAAGTCTGTGTTTGGGAAGGTCATGTCAACAGCATCAAAGACATTTGTCTTCAAAGTCTGAAGGGAAGAAAAATAAAAAAGTTTAAAGTCTATAAAAAGTTATAACTTGAATAGCGTTTAGGACTTGTATTTTACCAACCCCATCCACAATGACGCTGTCAATTATGTAGTCTCCAGATAATTTGGTTGTAGTATGTACGTCTATTGCATTATCCACTCTATTCTGCATAAGAGACATAACACTGGTCTGTCTTGTGTATTCGTTCTGAAAAACGAAAAAGAAAAAATGGATGAGGTGTTGGAAGTGGGAGTCGGGAAAAATATATTCATGGTTTATTATCGAATGGCTTACTTCTATGTAGAGCTTCTCTTTCTGCAACTCTTCGTTTTCTTGTACCCCTTGATCCATAATATCATGGAGGCTAGATGTTAGCTTTATTGCGGCCACACTGGTGCCGCTTGTGCAACCACCTATGGGTGCAAGGTTTAATTTATTTTAGGAAATTTGGGAATTAATATAAAATTAATTATGTAGTTTATACGTACAGTTGGAATAGCAGCACTCCTACTCCCACGGATCCAAAGCTTAGTTCCCATCCAGTGATATCTTCCGATATAGTGGTCTCATTGGCCTAAAAATAAGGCAGTTTTTAAATTAGAGTTATGAACTTATAGTGCAAAATTATGGTTTCCATAAATTCTTATCATACTTGCCTTGAAGTACTTCCCATCTACACTGTTCCATACAAATATAACCAAAGTGGTTCCTGAACCTGTTAGTAGAACCACGTCATTCTTGCACGATGGAATCTGCAAGGAAGCGCTTATCAGTTGCCATGGAAGTTCAATAGAGTCGCTTAATTACAACCCGAAAGGGTCACTTACCTGAAGGGGTACAACATCTTTGAAGTTCCAAGAACACCAGGTGTCAAGTCCTGTAAGAATTTGTAAAATCCTTGTTGAAGACTAAAAACACGCGTTAAACTAGGAGTAACGGCAATCAAAAACTTTTCAAATCCTGATGAATACATTTCCAGTACATCACATCACTTGGAAACTGCACATCTTGAACGAAAAAGATTCGTTGTCTCCCCCATCGATCAGTCTGAAAGTTGGGATAAATTTAAGCATTTTGTCAGGGATAAAAAAAAATAAAATAACTTATGCAACGTGGGGTAAACTCACCAACAACTCGTGTATGTGCAGGTTAGTTCCATTCAGGACCCCCATCATAATTTGTGCATCATTTTGCCAAACTCTCATTTCAGAGCCATATTCTTCCCAAGGTTTTAACAGGCTGTTAAAGACAAAATGAAATCTCAAGGTTCAAGAAATTTAAACCCATCTCCATCCATTTCATAGAAATAAATTTACTAACCCAGTTTGTAAGGTATCGGTGGTACCATTCACAACAACTTGGAAGTAAACTTTAGCTTCCTCCTTTTCACCAAAGAAAAACGCAAACCGCTTCTTCACAAGTGCCCCGAACTCTTCTGCATACAATTCTCCTAAGCCCAAGTGAGTTACTTCCTCACCGAGGTGGATGTGGCTGTGGCCTTTTGGGTATGCAACTCTTGCAGACCTTGTTCATCCTGTTAATAAGAGTCATTTTATAATGCTTAGTGTGCAATTTATAGTACACTATGCACTCATGGTCTATACCACCAGTTTGTAAAAGGTGACAGTCTTTTTGTCTGCAACAATGATTACTTCACGGTGGCTTTGTGGGTGCGAAAGCCCCTCAGCATGGTAATCAAAGGCCACTGCTGCATTGAGGGTAAGAGGTCGAATACCTGCGAACGGTACAAATAAATTAACAAAGGTTTCCCAATGTAGAATCTGAATCTACTCCGTATATTCTCATAATTCCCTCAGTCTTATCTCCTCACCTACCTACCTGACTGAGTACATTCTAGTACCAGCTCACTATCGCCATCAACACAGATGTTACCCTGGAGACCTACACTAGGCGAGCACAGTTTTCCACCTTGCGTACAGCACGCACATTTCTTTAAAGAAAATTTCATTAAAAATTTAAATTAGGTAGCCTTATGGCCTGCTATATCTAGTGCATATATTAAAGGTTATTCACTACTTACCGTGTCAGTTGGGTCATTTGCGCATGGACATCCAGACATCGACTTTGTCCACATGTTACGGACCAAAAGTAACTTCATCTCGCCATTTTTATAGATATATCCGTGTCCAAGACCATCCTGAAAGTTGAGTTATTTATTTTTCCTTTTAGATATTTTTTTATCCTTAAGTTTGGATATAAAGTAAACTAACCCACCTTATATATGGCCTTTACTAGGGAGATTTATGGGATAAATATCCATGATGGTCTTCATATTCTTCACCGTTTCAACGGCCACGCTGTCAATTACCGTCTCTATTTAAGGGGAAAGCATATTTAGGGGGTGAATTTTTAAGAAAAAAAATGCTTTTAGTTAAAAAAAAAAAAAAAATCTTACTTTCCCTTGTCGATAAGGTTCCAAAGACATAACCATGCCAGTAGTCTGTCGGGATCGTGGGACGTGCAGGCAAGCTTCGGCGGCGACGATGCAGCTGTGCGAGTGTATTTTCATGAGCTCGGAGGTGTTCTTTGAAGGAATCTAGAATGCCTACTTGGAGTTCCTCCAGCTTCTCTGCTAGGAGCTGGTCTAGCTGCAAGACCAAGTAACTAGTTGGTTAATCAAATTTATAAGCTTTAATTTTAGTTAAAGTAACTAATATATAAAGCAAAAATAAAGCAAAGAAAGCTTAACCAACCTCGCTGTCCGAGAAGCTATCTAGCAATATTTCTGCAGCATCGAAGTCTTGGTGTGGGAGGGCGATGCACAACCCGGTCATTAACGCTAGTAGGATTACTAGCGTCATGGCTATTAAAAAAAAAAATAGTCTAAAATCTTGCACGTAATTAATCATTACGAGGTAAATGGTTTTAAAGCAATGGCTTCGGTAATTCATTACCTTGCCATTACCTCTACATTTATGGAGT